AAAAAGCCCTCTTTGGCGATATATCCAGAACTCCTTGCTATGCAACATTAAACAGGAAAAACCCAGACCCATAAAGTAAGATAGCCCGAAAATGCATTCTAATGCTGTTAGAAAAGCGATTTACTTTTTCAGCAACCATTTAGAAGCAGTCATTTTTTCGAAACCTGTATTTATTTGCACTTTTTAAAGTCGTTTGCTTAAAGACGCATTTGGAAAACCCTATTTAAGTTCGAACCAACAAAAAGACAGCTCTCTTATAACCATTTTGCAGGAAACGATACACATCGTATTAGAATATCCGAAACGCTCTGAATGGCTATCTTAGGATAAATATTAGCCATACTTAAAAAAGGTAGGATCCTTTTTAGGTAGATATTTGTTAAATAGTGGCAAATAAACGTAACTCGCTTACTTATATCGTTATTTTATTATTCCTTACCAATAAATAAATAAATAAATAAATAAAAAGTTTATTGGCAATCAAATTAAGCGTTTTTTGTTAAGTGCCTATCACTTATTTTCGAGAGCTCAAAGAGCTTAAAAAACAGAGGCCCCGAAAAAATTGCTTTTTAGATCTCGGAGCTGCTTAGAATGATTTTACTTGCATAATGCAAGTAAATCGATAAAAAAACTGGTCACTGGTGCACGATAAAAAACACTGGTCATTGAAAAGGATAATTATTGAAAAGAATAATATTAACATAATATTACAAGCTACGTGTTAATTATGTAACATTTAACACTGACACCAGAATTTATTAATTTGTTACTTTGCTAACATTTCCCTAAACCGCCTGTTTGATATTAACTAATTAATTTCTTTCACCCCCAAATATGTTTTTATAAAAAAACCAGCTTTAATTAGCGTCTACATAGTGCCATAGTGGCCTGAATGTAACTTTCATAGGGGTTAACCATATTTCAGGTGTAATCATATTTCCTTTATTTTATTTTTTTATTACCTGGATCGGAGTTCTGAATAAACTTGATTTTGGGGTTTTTTTTTTTTTTTTTTTTTTTTTTTTTTTTTTTTGCCGAATGTCATCCGGGATAAAATTCCAACCATATCCAAATGGATATGGTATTCAGAATGAATTTAGTTTTTTTTAATTTCTTATGGCAAAGCATTCGAGGGCTATCTGGCTAACGGTAGAAATGCCTTCGTGAAGGACTTTATAAGGAAAACTGGCTCGCAAACGCGTTATTCATGGGGAAAAACTACAAAAACGCCCATGCAGCCAGCTCGTACAAGGAATTCGAACATCGGATCGAATTATCAGTGTTCAGCAGCTCAGCCGCTGCTGGGCGCATAATTCAGAAGGAAATCAGATAGGAAGAAATGAGATAAATTTAGTCATAGATAAACATTACATTATTGTTACTAGCTACAAAAGCATACGGAAAGTTCGAGATTAATAAATTAGATAAATAAAAACACAGCAGCCATTTTTTTTAATATGCTTTCTTGTAATAATACTTACTTCTTAATATATTTCTATAATCAAAACCAAGCAGTCTCGCAGCCCAATATTTTAAAACGTTTAAACGTTTATTAAGATAATTTATCACTGAACGTTAACTTCCCAATTGAAATATATACATTTAGTTTATTTTCAATTTAAATAATATAATTTAGAGCACTTGGATATCTTTCTTTTGAAATTCTTTCAACACATATCAACTATCATATTCACAGACAAGTGGGGCATATTACTTTGAGTTAGTCATTTAATTACATTGGTTTTGAACAAATACTTTAGGTAATTGTATGAACAAAGATTATGTAATCTTTCTCACTTCGATGCAGATGTACTGCTTTCACGCAATATATAAAATCCTAACTGTGGCAAAATTGACGAATGAAAGGAATGAAAAGAATTAACAAGGATTGCTACTGAGCAAAGACAAGATTTAAAATTGTAATCTTTCATTTGTTGTCTGGTGTAGGGCATTCGGTCATTCTCATAATCACCTTTTGACGTAGAATGCTTTAATTTATTTTACAAATTTAATCGTTTATTACACATTAACAAAAAATTTAAATCAGTAAAAACACCTTTTTATTAATTTAAATTTTTATTTTACCTTTTAAATAATGCATGCAGTTTTAAAAATTAAACACACTTAACATACGCCTAATAGTGCCGCCCAAGCAGGAGAGTGGTTAGCGATGCCCGGGTTCGAGTCCAGGAGAAGACATGAATATTTCTAAATGTATAGTGTCTGTGCGGCTTGGGAACACTCTAAATATGCGGCAAGCCGAAGGTCTTCTAGAGAGGTTGATGGTAGGAGAAGGGGGGAGACCCTCGGACCCTTCTCCGCCGGAGTGCTCTCCATCAAAATTGGGGCCGGAACTGAGCGAAGTCGTACTATCACCTGTATGATTTCTTTGCGATGATGAATTTCGTGGGCTTGCTCTGATATTACTGTCAGATAAGTAAAATAAGTCACAGCAACAAAACAGTAGACCTAATAATTTTACGAACACTGGTATTGAACTTTGAAGCTTTATTGGTATTAATAGAAGATGCTTTTAACTCCATAAGTTACGCATCTGATACAGAATCATTCGTTTTTTTACTTTTTTAAAAATATTTTTTATAACTTTTCAGTTTTCTAACTTTATTTTTAATGTTAAAGAGCCCTTTATGAAGAATTCTTGTTTAAAAAAATTAGATTGAAACTTAAACTCTTCAAATTGCATCCCCCTCAGATCATTAATATTGTAACATTAAACGTTGTATAAACTTTTCACATTTTCTTACGTTCAAAGGAATTTGAAAATTTTGTATGTCCTTGAAATGTTAAAACACTATGTATGTCTTATTACATTAGAAAAAATAAATAAAAACTGACGAAAGACCAAAGAATTATTCATTATCTTCGCTTTGAATACTAAAACTTATTGCTTAATAGAAAATTCCTAGTTTAAGATTGTGAAATGTTTTCAACAGCTTTTTAATTACAGACTATGGTAGAAATTTTCCTAAAAAATACCGTCTTTTTTTACTTTTTCCTAAAAGGCATGTAATAATAAGATGCAAAATAAGAATAACTGTTTCGCAAACAAAGGCCTTGAGAAATAGTGTTCTCAGGAGACTCTTTCAACATATTCCATGCACTTTGTCGAGTGAAGGTTAAATTAAAAAGAGTTTATAAATTATTTTTAAATTTGGATTCTTCTAGGTTTTTGAATTTTTTAAAATTGAAATAACAAAAATGAAATTTTTAGAAACATTTTGCAAGAAAAATCAAGTTATCAGAAGTATAGCTGCATTGTATAATTTCCTCTTTGACTTGATAATAAATAATTTCTCATTGAATTAATTTTTGCTAAAGAAAAGTAAAACATTTTTTAAATATAAATTTTATCGATTTGTTTATGCTTTCTCGCATCAGATAAGGTAAAACATTTCTAATCCCGTATATTACGCACTCGGTCGCAAAATAATCGCTTGGTTGACGCCTAGCATTCTATATTTTATTTTCATTTAAAACATAAAAAATTTCAAAGTATATGTTTATCATAAAATTTTCCCAACTCAAAAATTTTTTTTTCTTTTTTTTTTTTACGTTTTCTCTTACGTGAGAATTAACATACAATTATATGACATACTTACATACAATTACCGACAATTGTATGGAAAATGGAGAAACATTACCAATGTGATATTTTTTATTAACTGATTACCTAATAATTAGTAATCAAGTCGTATTTTGTATCTTAATCTAAGAAATGCTTTATAACGAGTGTAAAGATACAGATATTAAAAATTGCCACCGAAGTCGATAACTCGATTAACTAGCTACTCAATCGATAACAGGGATATAAATAAAATTCATATTTCTGTTATCGATTGCAGTCATATTAAACTGGAATATAGTTATTTATATTCTAGTTTAATGTGCATTTTTTATAACATATATTTTCCCCTTTTGTGGATTCACAGCTATGCTTAAAGGACTATTGGAAAAACCGAAAAATAGTAATCCAGAACGTGCCTAAAAAAGGAAACCAGTTAGAGTGTGCGGTTAGTACGTAATGCATGGAGCAAGCGTAATCCGAAGGATTTACGCTTTGGGAGCAGTTAGAACTGCTGCCACTCCTGAAGGGTTCCGACAAGCGAAAAATTGCCATCCCTTGAAAATCTTGATCCGCAATTCTGATAGCTTTCATGTGTAATCCGCGTATCCTTGCGTTTCTCTCTCCCTTCAGCTCTTTTTTACAGACTTTTGTCGTTCTGGTCATTCTTTATCTTTAGGTGGCCAGATTTGGGGAATTTTTTTTCCTGATACTTAATCTTATGGTTGGATAGAACGTTTTTCTAGTTGGTTAGCAACCTTTTCGCAACCTTTTGTCCACGGAATGTTGCTTGGTAGTAGACTTAACTTTTCTATTCATTTCAGCTTGCGGTGAATCTGTAGAATATAATAAAATTTTATAATTGCTTTTTATTTATTTATTTATTTTTATTTTTTATTTTTATTTTTATTTTTATTTATTTTTATTATTATTTTTTTTTTTTTTTTGTGCATTCAATAAATTAGGCATCAGTAAGCACTAACGTTGACATACAAGTTTAGTTCAGAAATATTTTTAGTCAAAACTTTTAATTTGTTTTCTTTTTAAAAACTTTCCCTTCATTCTTAAAAATTGAAATAATTTTTGAGCTACGCTCCAATTATAAAAAGCGTAATCTGTTAGGAATTTAGCTTATTCAAATATAGCTAGGTGTTATACGTTAAGGCCTTAATTTCTTTTTATCTTTAAATAACTTATTATTTTTTCCAGTTTTTGAAGTTTCAGTCTCATTTATTGATAAACGCATTGACAAAATAGGGAACTTGAAAATATTTTTTTCATTGAATAACAAGTTAATAATTAACACCTTTAGTCACTAAGCACAAGAGTTTTTTATTTTTTAATTATGAAAGCTTGTTTAAATGTATTTTTTAATTTACAATAAATTATTCATTATTGTCATTTTTACTCTTTACAGTTGGAAACGAAGGAAGAGATATAAATGGAGACCTCCACGACGATGAGTCCAAAAGACAAAGAACGCAATATAATGGAGACCAAATATATGCAACGGTAAAAATATATGCTTATATTTCAAAACATAAGGCTTTATATGAAAATTTTATCCAACCATCAAACTAATAGTTACTTCTTAGTAAATTATTTTAAGGAATAGAAATCTAATACTTTATTTAAGTCTAGCATTTTGAAAAACCAAATATAATCGATTCTAAAGGATAACTGGAGCTAATTTTATGTAGCTTTTAGAAATTCATAATTTTCGTAAAACTGAATTGGCTCAAGTAATATGCATTACAATTTTATTTACAATTCTGTATACATGAAAATTAGGACAAATTCTTTATTGGTATGAATCATGGTCTTCGTACTTGTAAGTATATGGTACTGCTATGCATAATTTCCAACTTGGATATTTTACAAAGCTTAGATTATCATTAACAGTTAATATTTATGTGTATTTTGATAATTCTTTAAAAGGTGAAAACTTATAAAAATGAAATATTTTTCATATTTTAAGTTAGCCAAAAGACAGCCTTAGGTTGGAGTAGAATTTTAATAAACCATTATTGATTTCAAGTGTGATTACCATAGGTCTCTCTTTTTCAGAAGCAAAATTGCCTCTGAAGAAGAGAGATTTAAGTTTTATTGCTTTCTAAATCGATAGAATTTCTTCCAAAATTTACGTTAATTTAAATTAATTTTTCATGGCCCATTTTAAATTTCACATTGGAGATGTTTCTGTTCCGGTATGATTATTATTTTCATTTCTGTTGGGATACTATTGGTCCTTACTATTGGTACTATTGGTTCTCACTACCTTACTATTGTCAACTACCATACTGATTTCACTTTCAGATACCTCAGTGTAGAGACTAAGCTTATTGCAGTCCTTCCCCCCTCCAAAAAATTCATCACGTAGAATAGTTGATATAATTTTACGTTTAGAAGCTATGAAAAATAATCACTAAATCATAAAATTTTAGAGCAGAAAATATAGCAAAAAAGAAGAATTTATATTCGAGTAAGTACAACAATCACAGACCATCATTGTCTATCATTGTTGAATGCTCCAGTTTGCTCTACAAGGATGAGGATCATATAATTAGATGGTGAAGAAATTGCTGAAAAACATATTTCTCTTTCTACAAGATGACATCACTAAATGAAACACAAAAATAATAATAAGGAATTGATTTTAATACAACACTTTTGAAGTCAATTGTTTCATAATCTCATTGTCAGTATTCAGCAACTTACTCTATAATTATATCTAGTCAATAAAAATCGCGAGAAATGACGATCATCTCCTTTTGCAGTGGTCTCACAGTCTGCCATGCTCTGGCAGGTGTGAGCTGGTGTCTAACTGAACATATTGTTTCATGCCATCAGGATCTTAGAATGGTGCTTCGAATTATTAGGTTAAAACAATGCAGAAAATGACACGATTAGCAGCTTAGATATTGTGAATTGATCAATCAATTGCGTCACTGAGTAATTCTCTGTACAATAAATTTACATTATACTAAATCGGTAAGCATACTAAGCATTACTAGTCAGTTTTCATCTGCCTATCCTTCTAAAAAAAAATTCCATTGATCAAACACATTAGTAACAGTTAAATTCGAAAAGTCCGATCTCCCTTTTACTCACTTTGGTAATTATATTTATTGCCTTTTGGCAGCTGGAATGAAAATTTTCATAGATGTATTATATGTATATTAGAGTAATAATATGAGATCGTGAAATAACAAGCCAGTTTTTTTTTCGATTATTTTCAAGTAGTTACAAAATTTTTCCAGTTTTAATTCCTAAACTAGTTTTATTTTCAGAAATCTTAATTCCTAAACTGCATATTCCTATAAGACAATTTTCATTCCTTTTCCATGACACTATTTTTCTAAATAATACCATTGTGAAAAGAAAAATCCTACACAGTTGTTTTTCCCCTATGTCGTCTAGTTCAATTATTATTCTCCTGTGTTTCCTAATTTCTCCTATGTTTCTTATGTTTTCCTTTGTATCTAAATATAATCCTATTTTGCCAAATTTTTGCCTTGTTGGTACTCGTTTCTTGCATTTCGTATTTCATTCAAATTCAAAATAACATGCATTTCGAATTTCAGCTAGTACATTATAAGCAGTTTTGTGTTTCAGTTTTAATGATACGAGATAATATTATTTATTGTTCGTTTTGTAGCAAATGTGGCCAAAGTGGCCGAAACAAGATGAACTCAAAGCCGGTGCTATGGTACCAGAACTGACGGCTGCAGCAGTCGCAGGAGGTGCACCATATACTCTACAACAATTTCCTACGACTCCGGAGCAGGCCTTCACACCGGTGGTCTCCACAACCACATCTTCCAACGAACACATAAAACCCGAAATCTCGCATTATGACGCCGCCATGTCAGCAATGACGTCACAAGTGCAGTCTTCGGCAGTTTACTCACCACCTTTAGGTAAGTTGCAAAGGAACACTGTAGTATATCTTGTTACTTAATGTTTTTGAATTCCAGGTAATTTTTAAGAAGATTTTGCTTATTAGATGAGAAGAAATACTACTTCACATTGAAAAATGATTTCTGTGTTCTTATTCCTTCTCAGTGTTCTACTTCCCAGTGTTCCAATCTTTTCATGTGTTGCATTTAAGTCAACACTCATATGTAAAATTTAACTCAATACTACAGCTATTTTCAAACTTGGTACAGTGCATTGAAAGCTTTTTAATTCGCATCGGAAAGGGAACCTGTGGCATGATAATAGATCAAATTTACATGAATATATCAATGTACTGTTTATTAAGGTCCTAACTAAAAGAACACTTAAGAAATGGTAACTTCAGATAAGACTCATTTATCTTTATGGGGGGGGATAAGTGGCCGGGTGTTCGCGAATTGTTAGTCTTGGGTTCAATTTCGGCGGTTACTGCAAAGACCTTTCATGGTTTTCTTACCGTGTAATGCAAGTTAATGTGGATGTTTTTTTATTTTAGAAAGTTTCCCATACGATTCTTCTTCTTTGACTGACAGACTTCGAGTGCTTTGCTGTTAACTTTAGCACTTTCCCATTCTTGAATGGGCAACTGACTTATACCTTTTAATTTAGTCCAACTTAGTCCGATCAATTCGAAAGTATTCGCAAGTCTGCGATGATGTGATCAGTTTCAAAAAGATAATAAATGATATTGCAGGATAAAGGTAACAAGAAAGCGTGGAGAATGCCCTAGAGTGAGTGCACAGCTAGTGTAAAATGTTTTAAATACGAGAGAAAATTTAAGTGCAGAACATGAAATAAACGCAAATAAATTAAGTAAGCAAAAATAATTGGCAATTAAAGAACGAAGTACTGACGTATCTCGTTTTTAGTAAAAATGTAACATAATAACCGTATAATCTTTTTAAACGAATTGTGTGAAGTCAACAATTCCCTAGCCAAGATTATTCTCTTTGGTAAGTTCCTATTTGGGAGCCTTCACGGCTCATTCGCAGTCTTTTAATATTGAATTAATTTGTACTGAATGTTTATAAATTCAGTATCTAGCATGACATTAAATAGTTATCTATTTAATTATTTTTAATACTAAATGGAGTTTTTACATGAAAGTATAAATTCTAATTAAAACTTGTCAAATATTTATAATAGTAAATAATATAATATATATGAATATATTTTCCTCTTGTGGAACAAGTTATTTTAAAAATAAGTTTCACTCAAATAATTATTTTAACAAATGAATTATTATGCAAAATATGACAAATAATGGCTTTAAATATTTTGACATTAGGTTCACGGAGTCTCTCATATTTGTTTTAGCTTTACGTTACGTTATCCTACAGTACCATTTATTATGTAAGATCGATCAATGCTCAGGACTTAAGACTTTTTTCCTCTATGCGGCCTACAAGTAACCAATTTCGAGAGCTTTCTGTCCTCCAGGTGCCTGACGAATACTATTGAACAATAATATCTTGATCCTGATGGGCTGAATTTTGAACAGGCTAAACGTTTAGAGTTATTTAGTATTTTTATCATATGTTAGTACATTTCTCTTAGGAAACCCTCTACGAAGGCGTCCGTCCTTTTAGATAAATAACCCTTGCATGAGCTTTCAAAAAGCCAAATAAACATACAATAAACATAGAAACAAACAGAGAATTGCTGTTCTATATAAGTAAGATCTTTAATTTATGTTTTAAATTATCATATGGCTAAAAGACAGCTAGTTTTAAGTCTTTTATTATTTTTTAACAATCCAAATACTTTTTTTAATAATATGTCTAGCTTTACTTTACTCCTCCAACAGAGCAGTTGGTCCACTTGCAGATGGTGCTTATCAGCCTATTTAAACCCTGCCAGTAATTCTAATTTCGATCACAAGTCCGAATGAAGAGAGTTCTCTTTATAGCAAAGAATAACGAAAGTACAGTGTAAAGAATGAAGTCACCAATGCCGCTATTTGAGTCTGTTTTGACGGTACTAATGTTAAGCTGAAAGGGGCAAGGGATGAGCTGTTCTTTTGGTCTAGCCGATGCAATTTAAATACATCTAGCTTTATTACGTCTAGCTGGAGTAATTTAATATATATATATAATTGATATTTTATGAAGTGCTGCAGAGTTATTGTAATTAAGATATTTCTAACACCACGTATACTTAATCGTTTCTTTGTTCATAAATAATTTTTGAAATGGATGGATATATGGTTAAATTTGACTTCATTAAAACAATTTTAGAAGTCCTTGTCTTTTATAGAATACCTCTAACAAAAAGAGGTAATAAAGCAGAGGAACTTTTAAAATCAAAAACAAAGAAGTGAGTTTTATTTTCAACTTGTTTTCAGAGTTGGTAGAATGCGCAAACTATAGCATCAACTAGGGATAAAAAGTTACAAAAATGAAATACGGAATTCTTTTCTCTGTATCGGGGAGTAGTACCTGAAAAGAGAGTAAAAGAAAGACATCTGAGTTCTAAAACTTTTTTTGAGAAAAAAATTTGAAAAATAAATTTGAAAAGTGTGTGGGGGTGGATACAGTCAGATATTTGCGCGCAGTCTAGAACGCAAATCCCAAAACATGCTCTCGCTCCGCATTCGTCATGGTGTGGAACCTCAATTTCTTAGTTGGCTGAATATCTTTGTTTGGCTGAATATCTTTGTTTGGCGAACTTTTGGCTCCCTCTTCTTTTGCAGTATGCATGAAAAATATTAGTAACGGATGAAAGAATTCGCTATCTGGCTCTAATACGAGTTTTGCTTTCAGTTTTACCATATCTCCTTGCATACAACGAAGTGAGACCTCAGTCTTTCAGAATAAAAAATAATAATTCATAAGCAATATTACTCTAGAGAAACACTTGCTTATTTTTTTATAAATAACTTAAATTTTAAGATCAACATAGCAACTTGAAATTTTATGTGTGTGTGTGAGTATGGCAAAGCCTCGAGGGCTATCTGCCTAAGAGGAGGGATGCCTTCGTGGAGGACTTTCTAAGGGAAACTGGCTCGTATACACGTTACACATGGGGAAAACCACGAAAACGCCCATGCAGCCAGCCCGTTCGCGGGATTCGAACCTCGGACCGAACTACCAGTGTTCAGCGATCTTACCGCTCTGCCGCTGGTGGGCTGAAATTTTATGAAAAAAAAAAATTATTTTAATTATTATGCTTTATAACATTTATAAAAAATATTTGTAATGAATTCATAAGAAATGCTTTTACGAAGGCGATGCTGCTTTTGAAAATATTGTTCTACACGTAGTTTAGCTTTGAAAGTTAATCAAAGTTAATGATATAATTTATATACTGTAGTTATAGTACTCTAATAAATGTTATGAGTGTACCCGATAAAAAGTAATTGAAAATAACTGAAAGTTATACTAGCTCTCGCATGCTTTGCCGTAATCAAATAAACCGTACCAACTGAAAGTTATATGCAATAATAGATACATGAGTTTCACACTCGCTTGAATCGAGCATAAATCGGTTAATTAATCGAGCAAATATCAGTATAATTCTCTTCAAATTTATTTCTCAAGTACTGAAACGATTGTTAGCGCTAAAACGGTTTATTTTAAAATTTCGTAAATTTTATGAAATTAAGGCTTTAATAAAATGTATCTAAATTAACATTATGCTATTACTTTTCCCAGCTGGTCTTGTAATACTTATTTAGGTATTGCAAGACTAGCTGTGATCAAGATGTTACTTATTTATGAAATTGATATAAGAATAACTTATGAATTAGAAATTAGAATTGAAAAAATATAAATGAGATGGCCTTTGTTATTTTTATTACAGGGGACTATATATTTGTTTCTCTGGCATTCAGATACCCGATATTTTCAGGTAGTCAGTTTACGTTCATGACCAAATGGTTAAATCCGTTGATTATAATTAATTCGACGTGGCTTTCGAGGAACAAATGGCTGAATGGACGTTTTCGCCACTTTTTCGGGTACTTCCTTATTATAGCGGTTCCAATTTTATTTTGCGACCTAAAGATTACACTAAAATCATAGCTATGATTTTGCCAAGCCCGAAAAGCAGGAATGTAAAATTAAACGAATCAAATAATAGCACCATCTGGGGACTAAACACCCTTTCTGTATATGCGTTTAATTTAACACATTAACTGCTTTCAACAATTCATCAAAAACTTCACTTTCTCTGTATACTTTCTCCACGTAAATTCCGAAAATTATGATTCAAAGTGATACCGAGTTGTGCCTATTGTTTTTTATTATGTGTTCTATTGTTCTTTAGTTAAACAGAACATTTTGTTTTCATACTTTTTTTCCCAATGGCAGATTGTGAGCAATTACAAATGTAACCCAGTCCATTAATCTATACAAGGCCAGATGTGGTGGTCTCTTTATTATGGAGGCACCTAATAGGTGGGCCACTATCGTCTTTCCTATGAAGGGACGGACAGTTACAACCATGCCTTCTCCGGGATTCGAACCCAGGCCCTTCGGCATCGCAGTCAGCAGCTTCCCTGACCACTATACCGACTGGACGGCTTGTTTTCATACTTTGACTGTGGATACTTGTTGTTAGATCTACAAAACGGTATTTATGGTTCACAGTAAAGTGACTGATCAGCTTCTTCAGACTGCTCCATTTAATATCCTTTTCAACAGTCTGAATACATCGTTGATTCGCATTGTACATGTTGAATAATTTTCTTCATATGTTCTTACATCTCTGTTCGATTTGAACAACAAAGCAGTCAGCATCTTTCTGGGGCATATTCCTCCAAAATTCCGCTGTTGTAGAAGTACTCTGCTGACGTTGTTCTTACGTCAGGCGAACACACTTTCATAGATGTCAGATATTTTATTGGAATCTTTCTGAATCTTTGCATCAAATGTAGGAAGCGCACTTCCCGCATGTAATTGTTCCAATCAACCGCAGCATTTTCCCCGCAGCATTACGCTGCTGTCAAACCATTCGATGGACG